TGGTCCTTACCCGCGAATTCGTTCCTGGATTGTTGCTTTAAGTAGAGCCAGTGAGGAGCTTGGTTGATGGACCTGGTGGTGTAGTTGATGGCAGGCTTGCTTCATAAGGGTATGGTCACATGTCCTTGGGTATGGCAATTTTTTTTACATTTTTTTCATGGCTCCTCAAACGAACCCAAAAAGTTCAATTGATTTGCCTCCCCATTTGTCATGAAAAGGCAGATGGAATTTTCTTCTCGTGCTCGTTTCTTAGTTCTTCATTATGATGAACTTTGACACACAGAAGACTCATAAATACACAGATTTATTAATTCCATATACATATTACAACCAAGAAGAAAATCCAGACTAGAATAAGTAAAATGGTTGAACATAAGTTTGTTCACTCGAAGTTCTGAACTTGTCTAATTACCCAATATGACCAGCTCCACGTTTGTGCTCTACCGTGACGTGGCATCACCTACTAGAAAAACCCATAATTCAATCTTCATTATTGATGTTCTGCCCAAAGTTGCTTAGATAGGCTTTTGAAATTTTCTTGATTTATGAGTCTTCTGTGTGCCAAAGTTTATCATAATACAGAACTTTAGAAAATGAGCACGAGAAGGAAATTCCTATGTCTGCCTTTTCCAGATGTCAAATGGGGACGCAAATCACAAACAAACAAAAACATTTTTTGAGTTGAGCCCCGAAAAAAAATGCAAAATTTGCCGTACCCAGGGATTCGATCAAGTGACCTCACCCTTATAAAGCAAGGCTGCTATCCACTACACCATTGGGTCCACCAACCAAACTTCTCACCGGCTTTACTTGAGCGAGCGGGATGAAAGAATGTAGGGGCCACAGTGACGAAAGCCACAGTAGAAAGAATCCCTCGTAACTTCATGCAGAAAATCGTTCCGCATATATCGAAAACGGATTTGAGCTCAGCGTCGCAAGGCGAGTATAGAGGGCTACACCCCATTGCAAATGGCCGGACTGAACAATTGAGCATCCCTCATCGGTTGGTTTCTTATAACTTTTTCCTCTAAAGCCGAAGTTATGACTAATTTATTTTCCTAATCTTTCAATATTGTACCGCCTTACACACTTCCCAGGTGGGTGGAAAGTGGTACGATTCCTGTCTTCGCACCCAATTAAGGGACGCCTCGCTCCGAGGTGCGAAGCAGCCCTAATTGAGTGGGATATCTCAGAGGTCATGATGCCTCATCCAATCTATATTGATTGATAAAAGCAACTTCATTGGAAAAATTATCAGTGATAAATATTTATTAATTATCTGAGCGATACAGACACATCATCATGTGCAAAACAGGATCGACTGCAATTTCAAATACAGTACCGAAAGTGTGTGGACACCCTGGAACAGGGTCAACCGCATGTTGTGCAAAGAACAACGGGAGGGGGTCGTATTTGGCCAGTGGAATTGGTCGTAAGCTCAAGTACTATTTAGAATCCGTATCAAGTAGCTAAGGAAGGCAATTTCATGTAACGCTGCAACTACGCACCACAAACGATTGAAAGCGCATTCCAGAGTAAGACTACTCATTAAAATACGTCATGTAACAATGGGCTTAGTCCGAAAACTGTTTCAAGGAAAATCCCATGCTCTAGACCCAATCAAGGTGGAGAAGGTGCAGCTAATTGACCTCCAGACTTCTAATAGAAACTTTTGGCAGGAGGAGTTTTCAAGTAATTTAACCCTTTCCGGACCGCGCACTTTTTGCGCTCACGGCCGCATGCTGCGCGGCAAGCATAAATATCATATATTTAATCTGTATTCCCACTAAAGCCATTATTTTGTCTCGTTTATGTCTTTGTCATGTCTCGAAGAATATATAAGATTAATTTGACAGAAAACTGTTTTGCAAAAAAAAAGGGAAAGGGCCATAAAAAGGGAGGAAGGGACTGAAATTGTTCAAAATAAGTTGGTATGGGGAAAAAGTGAGTAGAACGGTCAAAACGATTGGATCCATAAGAATCAGATACGACGAGCACGATATTTCACAAATTCTTCGGTTTTTAAGTGTTTTTCAAGCGAACTACAACTGTTTTCTTTGAGCCCAAAGTGGAAGTCCATTTACTCTTTGGTTATTTTAGAACCTAGATTAAACCTAAAGTCTAGGTTTTTTCATACATATGGCATGCGTCTGTTACATAGGTATGTAACAACATGAAATATTTTATCGAAAAACCAAACTCTTGGAAAAATCAGCTCTTGAAGTTCCTGACACACCATGTGTGTCAGGCGGTCCGGAAAGGGTTAACATGTGCTATAAAGTACCGATCTTACTGATTTCAATGGCTTTTACCGCTTTTCAATGTAGCAACTTTGAAGGAACTCATGGCCAGTTGAAGGTTGAAAACTCGCGCTTCAGGAGAATGGCCTGAAAAAGCCATGGAGGGAATTGAAATTTGAAGAATGATTCCTCAGGTGAATTCCAATAAATCTTTTCCAAAAGCGTCAGTCTTCTAGTTTCTCTTAGCTTAGAAATTTGCAAAACGTATGACCCTTTGCAAATTTTTTAGGCTAATGGAGGAAGTTATATAGGTTTGAACGACGGAAGCCCGTGCATTCTCAAAAATCAGAACAGAAACCCCTAAAAAACACAACTATTTGGAAGAGAGAACTGAGGGAACGACGTATCCATACTCTTGCGGTCGATACGTAGGCAAATGGACATGGCTGTCGAAGAGATCCGAGTAGAAGTCGTAAATGACTTTCTCCATTTTTCTTCGGGATGCAGTAACTGTTCCATCCGGACGTCGGAGGCAGGTCATCTTGGTCTTGTAGCTGGCAAAGCTTCGGCGGGCATTGCGGATGCTCCTTCCAGCCTCTGCTGCTTCAGCTAATACTGCTGCTCTTCGCTCCTTAAGATCTTCCTTTATCGCCTCTCTGCACAGGTTCGCGCCACGTAGCCTCGCCACCAACGGGCTCGAGATTTTTCAGTGAGAGAGGACCCTCAGTGAAAGAGATCCGTTTCTTTCTGGTCATAGGCTGATCTATTTGATGATACTATTATTCAGGTATTGTGAATTACCAGTATTGTCACTCAGAGTGGCGTTTTTTCATTCCACACTTGTTAATTTCCCCAAGCAGTGGCTGTTTGCTTGATCAATAGGGATGTGAAGGTGGGATCATGACCTCTGAGTTATCCCACTCAATTAGGGCTGCTTCGCACTTCGAAGCGAGGCATAATTAATTAGGTGCGAAGAAATGGGAACCGTACCACTTTTGACTGACCCCACTTTCCCTATTGTGTCACCATATCTCATTTTTATACTACATTTTTGCATTGTATTGGTTTGTCCAGAAGATCCTGCTACACTTTGTCCAAGATTTTTGATTGCACCTACCTTTGTGAGTGAAATATTCAATCAGCAAGATGATCACCATTATATTATAGAAGACCTACACACTTTCTGGGCAGCTTCTCAACTTCGTACCTTAGGTCTTCGGAGTTTGCTTTGGAAAGAAACGATCAACTCCATTTCCGAGTTGACCTCAGTCACCAGATTTTTTATCTGCTGGATGACGCTTCAAGGCAATAATTACCCCACACTTAGAAGCGGCTAAGCCCGACGAATAAGCAAAGCACTACGACATTTCTCATTCAAAATCCATGATCTTTTGACACGTAATCCTTTGTCACATATAGATATGCGTGAGGGTAGGGAAACACAATGTTGTGCGTTTCTGGATGAACTTTACGCATGGCTTCGGCCAAAGTTCGGAGCTAGTTAGAGCCGGCAGGTGGTCATCACCGCGGTACAAGTATCCAGCAGATCTTTGTGAACAAGCAAAATAAAACCTCATCAAAACCACTCAAAGACCCTTCTCTTTGAAGGTTTCTGCAGGCAGCTTCACTCGCAGTCGAATTCAGTAGAGCCTATATGCACAATTTTTTCAAGGCTCAAACTATCTCCCTATTTCTTCCTATCTCTTCATTTTTGTCAAGAGATTCCTTTGTTGTGAAGAAAGAAGGGAAATCTTCACCATCGTCACACACGTCCCCCCCCCCCACACTGGTGCAACCCATGTGGCACCCATTGCGAACATGCTGCCAACCAAGAACGTAGGGATCCTCGATCGCTGTCGGTTAGTGCACCTCAGCGTTTTTGCTGACTCACGACTGGTAGCAATCGGTTGCGCTTCTGGGAAGTTGAGCAAATGCACACCATTCACCACCTATAGCCGACCAGAGCACTGCTTTACTTTGAGTCATATCTCCGGATGGGAAGCCTCAGGGACAATGGAACTCCATGGCCTGCTGGACGAGTCATCTCCTTAATACAACAGAGATGGTAGCTGCAACGCATGCAAGCAGAGTGGCTTCATAGGAGCTCGAGAAACAAAGTATGTTAAAAGATGGTTCAGTTCAGAGAGAAGTTTGGAGCTGTAAAACGTTGCTTGAAACCTTCATGTCCACTCCTGCTGGAACTTTCGGAGACACCCTACAGAAAACAAATGCGAAAACAACTGAAAATGGTTTTGATTTTCCCTGAAGTTATTTGTGAAAAGTGTCGCAGGATTTTATGGACAACCCAATGTACACTGGTGTGCAAAACTTAAGGACGTAGATAAATTGTCCTAACTTATTAACAATTAGATAGGAATTGGATGAACTTTGTCGGGCATCAATGCTAGAAAGCGCTTACAGTCATGGGCACCGAAGCTGGGCCTCAATATGTTCTTGCATCGGCTTCAACTCTGAGCCTATAATGGGTGGCCACCCAGAACGATGGTATGCATGGGGCAGGACAAGAGGGGGAACTACGCAGCAGCGAAGAAGTGATAGTGGAATGTAGTGGTGTCTCTTGATTACATCAATTCTCAGAGACAAAACTCAGGGTGACTTTCACGGAGGAGCCTCATGGGAAATGAAAAAAGGAAATTGCTGTCCAGGAGTTTTGTGTCAACCACGAGCATTGTTTTTGTGCATGGACGAAGCAATGTAGACCGCAGCCACTGCTGTCCCAAGATGAGGAGGTTGGGGTCAGCGAACAAACCGCAGAGCAGTGATTGCTAAAGATCTGCTACAGGCAAAATGGAACCCAACGTCAGTCACATGCTGGCAGTTGCAAAACATTTATACAGAATTGTAAAGGCAGTAATCCCAGTCTGGACATGGCGCCAGTGACGCGCATAGTACGGTGATCTCAGTCGTCAGTCGACCAACATACCTGTATTCATTTGAAATCCACGCCTCGCTGGGCTTTTGGTACGAGCCGAGACATTGGAGATGGAACCACCGAATTGAAAAATCGGGTATTCTCCGCCGCGTCAATGAGCAAACTGAAATTGTGAGTAGTGATATCTGGACTTACCTGCTTCTTCTTCTTCTTTTCTTCTTCTTCTCCGTGCATTAGTTACCCCCGCGCAGTCGCAGGTCCGTGTCTTTGTCAGTCAGTCGCCACTGTCGCTCTGTCGAGGCTCTCCTGGCAGTGCCGTGATTTTCACCCTAACGGTCCTTCTTGATCACATTCCTTACCACCGGGTCTTCTTTGGGGCCTCTCGCGGTTCGCTTGCCTTGCACGCTTCGAGTCCTGCATTCTTTATTGGGTGGCCTTGCGGTCTTGCTCAGCACATGTCCATACCACCAGCAGTTGTATGGCTCCGTCACCTTCAGCGGACAGACGGCAGTCGTGCATGACCGCTCTGACATCCTCGTTCCTGACCCTATCCAGTCGCGTCCAAGCCGCAGGCCCACTCAGCATCCTCATCTCAGCGAGAGTGAAGCTGCCTTTCGTGATTCTTGTTCAGGGGCAGCACTCGCTGCCGTAGAGCCTCGCAGGCCTTTACCACTGTTCGGTAGCACCTTCCTGTTGAGTGCTCTAGACACTTCGTCGCAGAGGATTCAGTTGACACCCTCCATTTCATCCATGCCGCGTTGATCCTCCCCATTACTGCCTTGTCCACACTGCCGTCGGCACGCCAGATCACTTCCAAGATATCGGAAAGTCCTCTACTCTTTCGATTGCTTTTACCATGCCCGTCCATGATCGGCCTGCCACCCTCTTGCAGAACTCAGAATTGTGTCTTCTTGACATTTAGCCGTAGTCCGCCATCTCTGCAGGACCTTCTGGCATTGCTGCACCTTGCCATGTAGTCCTCTTACTATTCGCCTATCAGGGCGATGTCGTCTGCGTAGAGGATGGTCCTTAGGGGTCCTTCCATGACCCCCTTCACCAGGAACATCTCAGTGTTCAGGAGGAAGAGGAACGGGGCTCAGAGCCGACCCTTGGTGCACCCCGAACCGTGATGTCCACTCCTTCGTTAGGGCCGTGTGGGGTGTGTATCAGCTGCCTTCGCCCCATCGAACATATCCTTCACCAGCGAGACCAGGTGTTCTGGCACGTTCCAGTCCCTAAGCGCTCTCCATAGTAGCGCTCGTGGTAGCCGGTCGAACGCCTTCTCCAGGTCGAGGAAGGCTAGGTTTACAGGGTCGGCGCTTTGCTCGCATACTTCTCCAATCACTTGCCTTGCGATGAAGATGGCATCCGTTGTGGACCTTTCGGGCGATTGAAACCCGAACTGTTCCTGGAGATGGGCACCAGCTCGCGCAGTCTCGACATCGAGCCAGTCGCGTCGTTACAAGCTTCATTGCATGAGCAGTCAACTTGATCCCCGCGGTAGTTGGAGCAGTCCATCGCGTCACCCTTCTGCTTGAAGATGCGGGACGATGGGGCTTGTTCCAGGCATCTGGGGCATCCCCTTGTTCCTTCCGCGAGTTATGTTGTTGAGGAATCGTGTGAGCATCCTAATCCCGTAGTCACCCAGCGCCTTCATGCCGCAATTGGCACCCCCATCTGACCAACGCCCTTCCCAATCTTCATCCTCCCAAGTGCAGCACACCTAACCTCATTCTCAGTTCAGAGTGGCGATGGGACCAGCTGTGACTTCGCCCGTGAGTTGTTCTCGTGGACTCCTCGTTACGAAGTGTACTGTAAGCTACTCTTCCACCTCCTCCTTGACTTCGGCTGGGCTTCCTAGGATGACACCACTCTTGCCTTTCACACTTTCACTCACCATGATGTTTTGGGTAGCCCGATTCGCCGGGCTTTGGCCAGTCTGAAGACGAAACTCTCTGCGTTGTCTGGCTTTCCAACTTCTCGTACAAGGCGTCCATCTCCGTGTTCTTCGCCTTGGCTACGGCGGCCTTAGCGAGCCTCTTGAACTCCTGTAGGTAGCGAGGTCTTCGGGGCTCCGGGTCTCCTGCCAGCGCTTGTATGCTTCCTTCTTCTGCTTCACGACTCGCTGGACTTCCTCGTTCCAGAACCATGCTGCCTTGTCTCCTCTGATTCCACCTCGGGTCTCGCCCAGTACCTCCTTGGCACATCGCAGGATGGTCTCAGCCGTCTTGCTCCATGTTCGCTGTATTGGCCCGTTAGGATTTGGTAGACCAACTTCCATTATCCTTCGTTTGAGGTCATCTTTCTCCGCTTGGTGCAACTTCCACCACCGGATTCTCCGCTCGGTTCTAACCCTTGTCTTCTTCGGGAGGTTCATGGCAATGTCTGCCAGGAGGGGCCTGTGCTGCGGAGCCAATTCCTCGCCAGGGAGTACCTTGATGTCTTTTACCGAACTCAGGGATGATCTTCTTACGAGCACATGGTCGATTTCCGTATGTCGTCCCCCACTACTGTAGGTCACCTTCTGTGTCTCCCTTTTCGCGAAGAACGTGCTGCAGATTGCCAGATCGTGGGCCGTAGCCAGGTCCAGGACCCTCTCTCCCTCGACGTTCCTCTTTCCTATCCCTCTACCTCCGTGCACCCTTTCCCGGCCTCTCCTGTCACTGCCGACGTGGCCATTCAGATCACCTGCTACGGTCAGGTAATCGCCTTCCGGAATCGTTCTTATGGCTTCGTCCAGGCTCAGGTAGAACTCGTCTTTCTCACTGTCGGGGCATCCTGTCTGCGGCGCGTACACGGAGAGTATTGTCCAGTACCCCTCTTTCGCGTCTATCCTCACAGCCATGATCCGATCGCTGATCCTGTTCACAGCGGAGACATAGTCTTTGAGCGACTCCGCTACCGCTATGGCCACACCGTTCCGCTTAGTGTCTTCTCCATTATAGTAGAGTTTGACACCTTCCCTAATTTCCCTGGCCTTAGCGCCTTTCCATCGCGTCTCCTGAAGGCAGAGGACTTGGATATTCCTGCGCGTCATCAGGTCAGCAACCTCTAGAGTCCCTTATTTACTGCATATGGGGAAAATAGGAACGTGTAGTCTACCCAGGACCATTCGTTTAACATGTTGTTTTTTGGTAGTCCATGCGAACAATGTGGGGAGCCATAAAGTTGTCGGCGTGTACTGATCCCCTACTCATGATCGCGTTTCACGTTCTGATCAACGTGATTGTGGTGTTGTACCCTTCTGTCATATGCATCTTTCCGAGGGGTCCCTTGCCCCCAGCTTCAATCGTATGGAGGTTAGTGTGAGAGAGTATCGAGCAGCCTGGGTGGGAAACTCTTGAAAAGTGAGGATTTTCGGTAATTGGTGAAGCCATTTATTTCCTCCGGTCTAATTCTATGGAGCACGTGTGGCGTGGATTCAGATGAGCTATTGTAGCACATGACCATGTGCCAGCAATAGTCCTGCAGTTGTCAATCGCGGTCTCCAAGGAATCGGTCACTTCTCCTCAAGAACTCTTAACTAATCTTACGGCCTGTATGGGATCACGTAGCAGAGCGTACTTCGCAGTCCGTAGTGTTCATACACCCCATCAAGAACCAGCACCTCTCTTTTGAATGTCTACCATGAGTTGGAGAAGCCTCACCTATCGACCGCTTCAGACAGAGTATTTGCAGAAAAATGTCTTTTCCAGTCGCCCCTTTTGCGCTTTGTTAGTAACTCTCTGCACTGTACCGCAACATTTACTTCTATATATGTGCCAAATTTGGTCCACCAAGGTTAACTATCAGTGAGATATCATGTGAAAGTTACTTCCGTCCTTAAGTTTTGCACACCAGTGTATTTTCTGGAACAGTGACAGGAAGTACGATTCGCAAAATAAGGAATTTTTCAAATTGAAGCGAATTGAACTACGTCAATCCCAGACTGCTGTGCAATGTCTTGGAATTCTTTTTGAACTATTATTATAATTCCTGTACATGAAGGGAGTTTCCATCCATTTCATGATACACTCATTGATGTTGAACCTAATCATGAAAAAAAGTAATAAATTGCAACAGTGTTTTATCCAGCGCTTATGGGCCTGGTGAACGTCAATGACAACCAACCATTCGCTCTTTCATTGTATTATGGCTGCAAATGCATCCGGGACACATTTTACTCAAGCATTTTTTTTTCAGGTAAAAATGTTTGAAGAGTGGGCGAAGGCGTCTAAGCAAGATTTATTACTTGTTCGAGAAGTAGCCAAGCAAGGCTTAAATCTACCTAAGTTTGTGCTTTTCAAATGGTTGAACTCGCTTTTCCTCTGATGTGCCATTTCCAGATTTCATTACGAATCCCGACACATTCCGTGTGCCGATCTCTTCCCCGATCTCGCTGAAGACGTTTTGGAACTATCAATTATTCGCTGTCGGTAGGAATGCTTTGAATTATCGGCTAGATTTGTTTGATCTTACGTTTGATCACTATATCTTCAGTGACGTACCGCTTCCGTCTGGATACGAACCATCCGATGCTAATCTATTTGTGAGATATACGTTCCCTTATCCGTCAGATGCAAATCAGAGCGGAAAAACGAAACATGTTGCTGGAACGCAGAATCCGGGTTTGTATGTGCTGTCGTGAGGGTTCTCGATATTTATTGGTTTCTATGATTTATCGGTAGTTTCGAACATTTGTTTCATTCAGTGTATGTTTTTTCCCACTTTCAACCCTGATATTAGGCAAACGATGCTAAACTTCTTTGGATGTTTCTGTTAGATTATTTACGCCGCACCCTTGAACTATCCCGTATCCATAACAGCTTTCTCTACGAAGAACATCGATGCGAACATATCGCTAATGCGTGCCATGCGCCAATCAGAATAGATTATCCATTCACTACCACCCTTTCAGGCATCCCTCGTTCTCAAAATCCCGAAATCTGAGATATTGGGTTCGTGTGGACTGATAAAACGATTATTGCCTGCTGGTCAAATTATCTACCTTCGGCCTCGTTCACAGACTCCGAACTCAAAAAAAAACTATGATATGATGAGGAAAGAATTGCATATTCATTGGCTGCGAAATTCAGCGCACAAGGGAATCGCGTGACCGAATAGTCGGAGCATCGTTGAATGACTGCGTCCTATCGAAATCGGTAATGACGAGAGCGATTCGCCTTTCTGTTATTCTCCAGATCGATTCTTGCGATATATTAGGTTGTTGCATTATGAATATCGCACCATGTTTAGCTTCATCCCACTCGGCTGTGTCCGAACACCCAGAGATATTTAAGCATTCATTCGAAAGAGGAAATCTAGCAGTATAAAAGCGGCTACTCATTTCTCACATCGTTTTGTTTTCAGACGAATTTTTTTGAACGATGACTGACCGGAATTTCCGCCATGTTCACGTAAATATTCACCCGCAAAAAAGTGGGAGACCAGGCTGAAGCATTTCACTTCGCCGCCAAACAGCTCTGGTCACACTCCATCTATGTGCTGCGCACCCGAGTCGACGCGGCACGGTTTGAAGGATAAACAGTTCAGTGATTACGAAAATTCGTAATCTGGGTGTCCATGTTTACCTGCGCCCAGTTGCTACGATTCTTCGGGAAGGACGTCGAGTCTCTTCATGGGGAATGGCGCAGCCTAGCACAATAAGGTAGTAGGCATCTGTTCTTCTTAGATGCCGAATTGTTGCAGTTCCAACAAATTTTGTGGTACGTCCTAAAGCGACATTTATAATGCAACAACCTAATAGAATGGTTCGGCGTTGAATCAAATTTGGCTCGATACACTACGAATAGTTGACTTTATGCTATTTTCTATTCGCTTGTCCCTTACTCCACCCACCGATGGCCTACGACCTTTCCCCTTCCTCAACCATGGTCTGCTCTTTCCGGGTCTCTGAACTGCCTCCGGATGGATTTTTAGCATCTCGTGGGGAACTCCGCCTATTTCGTTGCATTTCCCACCTCCACTTTTTTCTCGGTTTCTAAACTTCCTCTGGTCCAATTCATATGTTTAGCGGCAAACTCCGCTTATTTTGGTGCACGCTCCGCACGTCAATAGAAACTCGCTTCTTTCCCTTCTTCCACTTTTTCCCGATCCTGGATTTGGAACCGAGCTATAAATCTGGCAGCAAAATTTGCCCACTTGATGTATATTCCGCTCGAAAAGTTCTGAGAAGTTGGAGAATCCTAGACATTGTTTCTCTACACCTATTTTTTCTGTTCACTAAGCTTTTTTCAAACCGAGCTATGATTTTTTCATAAAGCGCTCCATCTTCAGAGCGCTCTGTCCACCGGATTGGGTCTCCCTAATTCGATCTGGCTTACCATTACACACCTTTATCCACTTTTTCCCCCCAATTTCGAGGCTGTTTTGTGATGAAATTTGAATCTTGGACGTCAGTACCATTCATTTCGATGCACCCCACGTCTACTATGAACAGTGCACTGCTTAGCTGATATGTGTTTTGTACTTCTCGAGACCTGGCCCCCATCCCACCTTGACCCGGTCTCTCCAGAGGGACCAGGAGGTAGGGAATTTTGTGACAGATATACAGAAAGACGGCAAGCTTCATAGTAAGTAGTATCCATCTTGCGAATTCACCACTTTGCGATTCTCTGAAGCCTTGTACTAGAAGTGATGTTTTACAGCGCTGGTCTGGTATCATGTACAGGGTGAAGCATAATTATTCGGTTGAGCAATAATTATCCGCCGTTTCATTTTCATTTCATTTCATAAGTTTTTAACAAAACCATACCAAAACAAAACAACAGTAAATGCGTAGTCAACAAGCGCTCTCGGACAGTCTTCTCTGCAGCCGTGCCTTCATTCTATTCTTCATTGATTCTAGGAGTAGTTACAGAAGCATTCGCTTTCAAGCTCAACTTGCACTCATAAAGCATGAGCAATTTTTTTTGCTCACGTGTAAGCTCAGGAGTAAAGCAAATGCACGAGTGTTGTGCATCAAATTCTTTGAGCATATTAAGCTGAAAAATCAAGGAGTCATGTGCCTGGAAAAAATTGGCGGATAACTATTGCTCAACCTAACTATGTTGACAACAGTGAACTTAGATCAACAGCATCCAGCAACAATTAGCAGCGTTCCTGGCTGGATCATCACATTCGTCATAGCCTTGTACATACAGTTCTGTGGCTCGTGGTTGCATTTCCTTTATTTGATGATTATCTTCCCTCGATTCAAAACCAACGATACTTTTACTCGCCAGTGAGTTCTTTCCGAGATCTACTGTGTGCGAAGGATGCTTCGGATTCACAGCAGATCTCGAATCTTCATCAGTGGCCCCTTTCGTGAAGGTCGACTAGATACGAGGCCCGACGGTTACCATGAATGTTTCTCATATTTTCATACGTTCAAGCGTATTTATTGCAATTCATTGAGGAGCGAGATAGTATCGGCTACAGATTCAAATCAGATCAGAGGATTTGAGAAAAGTAGCAAGTTACAAGCCTGTAAGTCTCAGACCACGCATCACAGCAGATCCTGTCGTGTGCAGAAGAAAAACGATGTTGGAAATGTAATGGGTTTTTTGCGGATTCACGGACGGAACACGCATGAAGACCGAATACAAATACAAAAGAATACAAATTCTTTCAAACTAAGAATACAAATTCTTTCAAACTTCTTCATCAATGACCAGGTATTCACTCAACAATATCCATATTTACTGGGATCTCCGAAAAAGCTGGCAGAGTAGGAGCGTCAGTCGAACGCGGCGCCCTACTTAGCGATGATAATCAAACTTGAATAACTACGGATAGCTACCAATTCTCCTATACCGTTGTGGTTCTGTGAACGTGGATGTGAAACCTCAACCCATATGCTACCCATGATGGAATGGAATTTCAAGAAAATCGGCGTCAGCTTGACTGATCAGTGCAGTTGATTCATTAGCAGGGTGATGTGCCGGTTCATGAGCGAAATTCTGTGGAGTCTGATGCAGAACCCATTTGACTTCGTGTTTGACGAAGTTGGCCGACTAAACCTTCAACGTGGATAGAATGAGTTACTCAAGCTGCCATAATCCTTAAGTTTGCACGAAGCAACAAATTTCGAATGAGAGCTCTGAGAGCTGCTAAAAAAAGGAAGTAAGACCTGGAGGATATTATGAGGGCAGCGACCTACAGTTCGCGTAAATTGTATATGCCACTCCCTGATTTTTTCACTTTTCTGACTTATTTGGAAATTTCGTAAGTCGACATAGCAACCATCGTTTTCGGCGTGTTGGAAAACTAAGAACGATATTGTTCGATAATGAGTAACGCGTTGATTTAAATTGCTCTGTTCTTTTCAAGAAATGGGCCGCGTCAATTGCTTATGCCATCCTAAAGTTTCTTTAGAATTTCTCATGTCTCTAACGCTAATCAGCTACGGTGTGCATGCAGTACAAATGAGAAAATCCTCCACTTATGCAATCAATGCGCACAAATGGTGGAGCATTTATAATTAATTGATTCGGAAGATTAGCTCTTATACTGGACGGTAACAGCATGAAAACCCTCTATCAGAGAAAGTGCTGTGTGATCACTCTCGCGATCGCTCCTGCTGCTTATTGTAGAACCCATGGAGGAGTGTATCCAGGCAAAACTGGGGAAATTTAAGTGCTCAAGGAGCTCTTAAATTCTCATTTTCCGGCTTCGAATCCGTGGTCAACTTCATTTGTGGTCTCGGCTCTTGCGAATCTCGAAGCGTTCACGCTCACAAATTCTCTGTTTAGAGAGAATATGAGTTGCGCTTACAATTCGCGTAGTACCCATCGCGGAACTTTGTAGAATTCTCTCTGGAAAAATTTTCGTAACGAGCGAGCGAAATGATGACATGGGCCAGTTGTAACTTGAACGGGACACCGAAGTGGTGGTGTGGGCCATCGTTGTATCGCCTTGATAAGAAAACTTCGATTCAGTGATGGGTACCAGGCGGGCAGTAGGTACGAGTCATGTTCTCTCTAGACAGAGACTTTCTGAGCGTGAACGCTTCGAGCTTCGCAGGGAGCCGAGACTACAAATAAAGCTGACCACGGATTCAAAGCGGGAAAATGTGAATTTAAGGGCTCCGCAAGCACTTCATTTTTCCCAGTTTTGCCTTGATACACTCCTCGATGAGTTCTACAACAAGCAGCAGGAGCGGTCCCAAAAGTGAGCACACTGCTCTGTTTCTGGTAAAGCGTTTTCATGCTGCTACCGTCCAGTATAAGGGCTAATATTCCGAACCAATCAGTTATACATGCTCCACCGTTTGTGTGCATTGCATAGGTGGAGGATTTTTTTATTTGTACTGCAAACGCAACGTAGCTAAATAGCGTTAGCGACATGAGAAATTCTGAAGAAACTTTAGGAACTCTTTTGGCATAAGCAATTGACGCGGCTCACTTTCTTGAAAAGAACAGAGCAATTTGAATTAACGCGTTAATCATAAACACCATTCTCAGTTTTCCAAAACGCCGAAAACGATGGTTGCTATGCCGATTCACAAAATTTCCAAATAAGTCAGAAAACTGAAAAGTCAGGGGGTGGCGTATGCTAAAGTGATGCCTGTAAACAGCAACCATGCATTGAATGTCAGAATAATTTGGTGGTCGAATAATCGTTGATGTAACTGATGTTGAAGTGAAATACCCAGTACCGATATCATGTTTCTTCAAACATCAACCGTACATTTTTAGAAAGTCGGGGAGTGTAGCGACCGAAAGTTTATTTGGAATAAAGACGACAGCGCCAATGAAATGATACTGAAATGAGTTGCGTTATCTCAAATCTGCTTTCGAGTGACCTTCAAGCTCTCACGCTATCGTTGTTATCAGTCCTTATCATTCGTTACTCTTTCTGACCCCATCAAATATGTTCCCGTCCCTCTCTCTACTCACATATCAAAACCAACGCCTCTCTGCTGCTGTGACACCCACGCACACCGGTGAATTCCGTGAAATTTGCGTTCTGGCGCCTCCCGTCGGCTCTATTGGGCGTTATCACTTCCCCACCCCCGTCAAATATGTTCCCGTCCCACCATGTTTATCACTTCTTGGAACCAACGCCTCGCTGCTGCTGGGACACCCCCAGTAAATTTCGTAAAACTTGCGTTCCTGCGCCTCCTATCGGTTCTTATCAGGCGTTATCACTTTCTGACCCCCACCAAATATGTTCCCGTTCCACCCCCTACATCACACTAAAAATACAGCCGCTGACGACTACTGCGACGCGCGCTATGAATTTCGTGGCAGACAGACGGACGTACACACAAACACACACAAAGACATACTTAGCGAATTATATATAGTAGGGATTCTTGAACCACCCCTCTATCTGCTAAAATGGCTCGAACACTGGAGCCCAAAGAACCATAATTCGACGGCGGACGTGGGAGCGATGCAAAGGCTCTGGCCACACATTGCCCATAGCTGTAAGGTCAAGAACTTTGAGAAACCCCGCCCCTCACACAAAGCCTTCCCCACACTCTGGGTTGCACTTTTAGTAATTCTTCACTGGATATCCATACATACGACTCTTTCAATTCGGTATTATTTACCATCGCGGCATTTCGCCACCTTGAATTAAAATTCTTATTCGCTGCCGATCTCATACATTGTCATTTTATGCTGAAATAGGTTAACTTGTATTTTCAGAATTTGATGATGTTTGTGTGCTACAGATTGGCACGCGTAAGAATAGAGGACTGAAACTAATGCGAGTGCTCAAAAGGAACCCGTTGAAGCTTGAGGTTGGATTTTGTGTTTTTTTTATCTGATTCAAACACAGGGCCGGCTTTTTGGTTTTTTTTTCAATCATGTATAAAAATCCAGCGTCCGCTCTTCGTATTGTGAACCTAACTGATGGATTTTTTTTCGGAAAGACTGATTAAGGTTGAGTATCTATGGCCAATAAGGCCTCGCTGCCTTTCCAGGTTCTCAACCTTGCCATATAGAGACAACCTTGCCGAGTGGGAGCAGTATAGTTTGGGATATATGTATACCAAGACGTTGCGGAAAGAAACGAATCCACGTGCAATAAATCCACATCAGTCAGGACGAACATTTTGAGCCACTGGATTTCCTGTTTTTCTTCCTTAAGTGGGCCGTCGGTCACTCGATTGGTCCATACCGTAAATTCGCAGTTTGGGATGCGATTGCATAACAGAAATGTTTGGCTAATAAGTGAGAAAAGGTGAGAGAGTATTCTGAGATTGAGGAATTTATAAGATAACTGCATAGTAATGCTACTACATTTCACTGCTTACAGATGTTGTTAAGGTATACCAGAAAGGGAGTTTCCTCCGAAGTGATAAACTTCTCGGCACCTGCGAATGGAAATTGGAAAAGTTGGAGTCGAGTGCGCTGCTGGAGGAGTCGCTACCATTGAAGGAAGGGCGAAAAGCTGTTGGAGGCTTGCTGACGTTGAAAATTCGCATACGGGAACCTCTTGGAGATGCGAAAATCTCGGCTACGCAACATCGATGGATGGTGCTGGACAATTAAGACAGGACATTTTTATGCAATGCCATCATCGGCTTTGAAGGCCTGTTTGCGCCGGTTCTTTTCGTGCATCACTGTCTCCTAGCTTATCTGTGATTGTCACTTTTCTTCTACTTGGCTGATTATTTCTTATTGAATACTGCGATTTTTTCGAGGAAAAACCAATAAAACATTATAAAGTTACCGCTCAGTGATTATTTTATTAACAGGTCAAGACTTCCGTTGGTTCTGGATAGGCAGATTCATTTTTCCATATTTACTTTTTCAGCTCCTTAAGAACATGCCCTAGAATCATCTTGGTGTCGATCTTGCACATGAATGCGAACGTACATTTGGTGCGAAATGAGCCGGCAGTGGAGAAAAATAGGAAAAGAATCCGTCAAAAACGCTTAGGTCAAGGGCTCACACGCCTTCGTAATGGGCGGTGGTAAGGGAATGAGAGACTAAGCGCGGAGAAGAGAGAATGAGAAAAATGCAGCTTCAGAAGCTCACTTTGGGGGGGGGGGGCTTTTTCAAGGCAAGTGCTCTAGTTCCAACCGACTAGAGCACTTGCTTTGAAAAAGGTCATTGGTGATTGTCCTCTAGGGGTCTATGCTAACCGAAGGGAAATGTTCACACGATTCCTGCCTGGGTTGTGCCTTTAACACCACATGCTCTACAGAGCCAATGGGAGTAAGGGCTCCGCTGAAAGCGTGCGGCTGGAACGCGTTTTTTGGCTGGAAAGCAGTTGGGGTGTGGGTCCCTACGACAGAAAACGACTTTCTCACTATGACAGCCCGAGGTGCACCCTCAATCATGAGCGGACATGGGCTTCCTGCACCTAAAAGCGAAAGAAAATCCTGACGACTTATTCCCAAGCAGTTTCCTTTCCTCCTCTTTCTCTCCTCATTCCCAAAGCCTGGCGTAGAGGAAATGCTAACAGCTGTATTGCGTTTGTGAGCGACAGAGACATTCGAACTGTGGTAACACGACCAACTAAAGTTTCTTCGATGTTCTAGGTCGCAAAATACCACAGCGGAGATCAGATGGCGGCTGCCCTAGCACCAGAAAGGAGAGTGGAATGTGTTCGTTTCAGGAGGTGCGTGAGCCGTATCGTGTGGTAAATGTTGAAGCCTGCTAGGTCACTGTGGTGAGAAACCGCTACTCCAATGAGACAGCATAGACGAAAGACATTGACGCGGTTCGAATCCAAATAGACCGTAGACCTCGCGGTCGTTGAATTGTACGCTTCATGCTGAAAGTATAGGACCTGGAGTGTATACTTTCTGAGTTGGAAGACGTGTGATTAGGCGGATATGGCACGGTTTTTGTACCAAAATCCATTGAGGCTCGAACGCAAGGTGACTGCCGGTAACTCGACCACCTGTTTTGTTCCCACGCAAGCGCCGACGCCTCTATTCCCTGCGAGTGCCTGACGCCTCCATTTTTCTTACTTTCACTCGTGAACTTAGAGGCAGCGATTACGACAGATTTTGGAGGGGTCAAGAGGGGACGTGTTGGTATGTACTCAGGAAGCATTTTTGGGGGACCTGAGAGAATTCCTCTGCAACAGCGTGGGAAGAATAGATTTTTTGATGACTCGAAAACATTTTTAGCATTCAGAAGAAGAACGGATTCTTACACTTTTCAATGCTGCTCTTGTAGTTTCAGAAGCTCATCAATGAAGCAAGTTTCTTCAGAGTGTGAGAAGTCACAAGAATTGCAAATTACTCAATGGATCCTTGACGAAGTTGTTCGTCGAAATAGGTATGTTTGGAAAAAGCCTTGACACGATTCAGAAACCAAGTATTGCGGAGGGGCGGGTCCGAGTTCCGTTAGAGCGAAAATTTTGTTCACAACCTAGCATTCTTGTGAAACTTTCGCAAGACGCACTGCTGCCATAAACAGCAAATCACATTTAAAAAAACTAAGAATTGATTCACTACGAACTGTGTTCTTTTAAGGTCCGTCCTCCATTTTTAATGATTGTCAATGGGGAAATTTAAAGACCTTCAAATAGAGGGTACATTTGGCGATTTTTCGGATAGGCGCGCTTCACTTGGCAGTTCGTACTCCGTTCGGTCAAAGATTGGAGCGCAAAATTGTTCACTGCAGTTGTAGGTATTACACTGGTGTGCAGAATTTAAGGGCAGCGATTACGATAGATCTCAAAGGGGTTTAGAGGAGACGTGGGGCCTCAGTAGTACGCCAATGGCGAAAAAAGCAAAGAAATCTGTCAAAAATAAACAAAATAGTAACCCTTTGGTTGCCTTTTCATTTCCGACCATGGATGAGCGACGGTAAAGAATGACGTTCGGACGTGGCAACCCCAATCATGCCAACAAGCATAGTGTTTTTATTAATAAGGCATTACATGGGCAAGTTGGAAGATACAGCTGATAAAAGAGAAATGAGCTCCCAAAATGGAAAGCCAACAGCAGACAGCTAGCCCAAGTCATCATCCGAACAAGTTGGCGTAACGCTGCTGGAGGTGGAGTGCTGCGGAGGTCCTGCTCAGCAACCACAGCACATGGAAGCGCAACACATCGCTGCCAAGAATAATTGCTCTGTGTGGGTCAGGTTCTCCCTCGATGCGAAATACAATACCTTATCGTAATCGCTTCCTTTGAGGACGAGATGAAGAAATTTACATGATTTATTAACAATCCCATGGAATTGGATGAAAATATGCACACCTACTTCTAGAAAGCTTACAGTCATGGAAATGAAAGTGGGCCTCATATTAGGATGGTAAGAAAGTCCTGAGCAGTTTGACACCATTTTGTGCTTTACTTTTTTATTCATGGAATCTACTCAACAATATAATCACATCTGTTGCTCACTACAAAGTCCCACCTAATGGGCAGGTCAGCGACCCTCTTCTCCCAGAACTGGGCAGACTGCGAGTGAAAGAAATCGCTGACCGCTCTTTCAACGTCTTCAACTTTGAAGAATTTTTTCTTTGCTAGGAATGCCTTGAGGGAATGAAAGTGATAATCAGATAGGACAATGTTAGGGGAATAGGGTGGGTGGGAAATCGGGTCCCAGATCAGCTCTTCCAATTTTGCACGGGTCTCTTTAGCTATGTGGGGCCTGGCGTCATCGTGGAGCAGGTGGACAGAAGTTCGTCTCGTTCGTTTTTCTCGAGCAGCGTCCACTAGATTCTGGAGTTGACTGGCGCAAATGCTGCCGGTAGCGGTATGTCTTTGAGGGAGCATCTCATAATTTCCTCAAGAATCCCAGAGGTAGCAAAGAAGACAGTTTTTGGGGTGAAGGTCCGATTTTGCTTGTGTCGGCGGGTCTTCTCCTCGGGGGAACCACACGGCACCGTGCTTGTTAGAATCGTAGAGGACCGAACTCTCATCTCTCGTAATCATGCCTAATAAAAACTCCTTTCAATGCGGACAAATTAGGAGAAACTGACAAATGGGTATCCGCCTGAACCGCGTGATATCGGCAAGCCATGCGGAATCCATCGAGTCAGCTTTTTCCTATGGCGAGGGCGTGAAGGGGATGGAAGGCTGTGAGCTAAGCGCACCGGAGTCTTATCATAAGGCTGCGAACGCCGAGAACGGTGAAGTCTTCCACCGTTTGGGGGCTTCCCAACCTTGTCTTGTTTTCGAAAGCCGTGTCCCTCTTCCGAAGCCTGCGAACCAGAGCTTGGCACTGATGATGGGAGTGGTGTCCCTTTCCAATGCGATGCTGATAATGTTGACGGTTCCCACTGCTCCTGTGCCGCAGCGCCATTCATTGACGGTGATCTGCTCGAAATGCCTTTGAGGAATCGACATCATGATTAAAGTTAAAGAAGGCAACTCGGCTATATATCCCTACTACGGAGAAGCATGATCGACAGGGATAGTCTATCACGTAGCAGATTCTAGGTATCAATCAGTAAGCGAAAGTTCGAGCTTTCGAAAAATCGGCTCATTACTTTTTTACCATCCCAAGTTTATACAGCTGTCGGCTCCAGTCTGGTGCCAAAATGGAGTGGCCTGTAGAACGAGGGGTTTGATGGCGCAGGACAAGAGGGAGTGTACTAAGCAGGGAATTCATTGTGGAATGTAGTGGTGTTCTTGATACAGCAAGTTTCAGAGACAACATCAGGGTGACTCACACGAGGGAGAATCCCCGCAAACTGGAAGAAGGAAAATTTGAAACTTGTCTTTGAAGGTCTAAACTACTCTTTGTTCTACCCCCACATAACACATAACAATAGAGATTTATTTTATTCATCAAAATTGCAAGCTTCATTGAATTGATTAAAGTAATTCCATATATTTGATATTGCTCACACCATTGTTTTGTGCGCATAAGGAGCAATATGGACTGCAGCCACTGCTGCCCTCAGAAGAGTAGGTGGTGGATCACGATCAACTGCAACAGCAGTTGATTGCTACATTTTGCAATAGGCAAGGACCTACGTCAGTCGCAGGCTGCAGTTGCACAAACACTTATCAGGATAATAAAGCACGTTATCCTAGTCTGAACAGTGGCACTGTGACCGCATAGGCATGGACTCTCTGACCGACCACCAGTTTCTGGTGCTTTTCGAAACCCGCGCATCGTCGGGAGCATTTGCTAGGAGCCGGGACACTAGAGATGGACCACCGATTTGATTGACCTCGTTTTCTTCTTAGTTAAGATCAAGTCGGCTGTAATTAGTGATTTTGGACTTACCCGCATGTTGCGAGAATAGGATCACGTAATATAGTCAGGACCATCGCTCAACATAGTTGTTTTGATAGTCCATTCGATATGGTGTGGGGAGGCATAAAGTTGCAATGGCATACCAACCTCCCAACTTTCGATCGCGGATTGCTTTTTGATCGACGTTATTGAGACGCAGTACTCCTCACTTATGTGCATCTTTCCAAGGGTGCTTTTGACGTCAACTTCAATTGTATGGAGGATGTGGTGCGAGAGCTTCGAGCAGCCGGTGGAAAACTCTTGGAAAGCGAGGATTTCCGGCGAACGGTGAAGCCTGTCCGCTTCCCCAGTGAAACCCTATGGAGCGCGTGTGG